ATAGATAGATAGATAGATAGATAGATAGATAGATAGATAGATAGATAGATAGATAGATAGATAGATAGATAGATAGATAGATAGATAGATAGATGGAGAGGGGGAGAGTGAGAGAAAGTGAGTGAGAGGTAGCGTGAAAGACAGAAAAACAGAGATGGGGAGGACGGGAGGGGAAGGAGTGCAAAGAGTGGAGAAAAAGAGGAGTACGGAGCAAATGTGCACAGACACGCACGCACGCACGCACGCACGCACGCACACGTACATACCTACGGTATACTGTGACAGCCTGCCTCAGTCGGTTCTCATATGCTATCAGATTTACTTCAGAGGAGCTGGCAAACCTTCCTTTCCTCTCCCAGGATAAATGCCGCACAGACAACACCTACAAGAGAGGAAACACAACAGCAATAACTACCAACTATCACTAACTAACAGTGACTAGCAGTTAGTGTTAAGGTATTGGCAATTATATCTAGAACAGTAAGCAGCAAGCTAGTAGTGCATGATTATTATTACTGCAGTACTAGATTAAACGAATAATTAGGTTCCTAATTATATTCCATTACTGCATAAATCTATAAGCATAGTATACAATGTATGCAGTCTATATCTATAACCATTCGCGTCCTTCCATGGTATGTTGACAGGACTTTGTATTCAAATCTTAACTCTTTACTTGCATACTTTCTTACTCAATACTTAGTACTTCATACTCACTCCGTCCAACGTCTTGGGGCGCTGTAGTTTGTCGGCTCGTCGTGCGCGGGTGGCGCCACCACGCGGCGGAGCGGTCGCTGGCAGGACGTCGGTGGTTGTGAGGCCGAGAGCAGATAGCCCGTGTTGTTGCAGCCACCGCCGCGTAGACATGTCCTGTAAGCTGAACACACGCGCGGGGGAAAGTAGAAGCTATGGTACTGCCGACGATTGCTGAACGGTAGGAGCGAATCTGTCTCCTGATAAATAATATTTTATAATCTCTGTCGTATGCGTCGCGTTGAAGGGTGATAAATTGTCACAGTTTGCTACCTTGGACATACGGTCTTTGGATATAGATATATAGTATAGATATTTATAGATATTATATCGGATCTTTCTTATCTACTATGTTGATGCTTATATAGTTGGTCATACTTGGAGTTTGTTGTTTAAGTTTCTGCGTGGTATATTGCTCCTGATGAAGAGTGCACTTACTTTGCTTCAACGTCCGTTTTTCTAATCTTCTTACTTCCCTTCTTCCCGTTTACTGCAATAACGTATTATCGGTTGACACACAGGAAAAAGCATCGCAATAAGAATATTATGTGCGTGCTTATGTGTGTGCGTGCGTCCTTGCGTTCGCGCGTGCGTGCGTGCGTGCGTGCGTTTGCGCGTGCGTGCGTGCGTGCGTGCGTGTGCTGCCAATCACTTTCGCTGCTCGCGAATGATGTTCTATTCTATTCTTTTCGGAGAAACAATTCCAATGTCGTTGCTTTTTTCGCTCATTCTCAAGTATTAATTAAAGATTTTTCTGCGCATACAATACCTTGCTGCGTGTCTGCTTTCGTCCCTTTTATGTTCTTCAGGACGTCTCTCGTGTTGGGAAGCATCCACTCGCCCGTAGGTGAGAAGTTTCCCCGACTGTTCAGCGTACGCAGTAAACTCGTCTTCGTGTGACCTGAAACGAACGCAGTAGTAGTAGTAGTAGTAGTAGTAGTAGCAGCAGTAGCAGCAGTAGTAGTAGTAGTAAGTAGTAGTAGTAGTAGTAGTAGTAGTGTAGTAGTAGCAGGATAAGATAAATATAAGGAGGAGTATGACTTGTCCAACAAGTGAAATTCAACATTTTGCTTGCCTATGTTTACCGATGATAATATTACGTGCAACTCGATAAAAAATTACAATCTAAATAGCGTTGACATCCAACTCTCACTAAAACTTTACTTGTTTTTCATATACTCTTGCCTTTACGGAGATATAGCTTTGAACGTCACACATGGTTCAAGTGTTTAACTAAGCGTGTGCTCAGATTGCCTCAGGAGACTTTCGAACTGTGTTATGAATAGCTGAGCAATGCTCTCTTGTCTGTTGAATACAGAAATGCTCCTTACACCTGCTGGCGTGTGTTAGCGGGGTGGCCATGTGAGGGGCGTTTGCAACATAACCGAAGGTCTCGCGCAGCAATTACTTGTGGTATATTATAGCTGTGACGTATGACTCTGCCGCGTAGTCACGGCCTGCGTGTGAATCTGCGGGCAATCGCAGCCACCAACTTAGTAAACACTATGAACCATGTGTGACGTTTCAAAGCTATATGCTCCGTAAAGGCAAGAGGTATGAAAACAAAAGTAAAGTTTTTAGTGAGAAGTTGGATGTCCAACACTCATTAGATGTTTTTTAATTTTTATCGAGTTGCACGTAATATATTCATCGTAAAATTAGGCAAGCAATATGTTGAATTCACTGTTTTGGACAGTCCAATACTCTGCCTATATTATCATATACTCGCTGGTAGTAGTAGTAGTAGTAGTAATGTAAGTAGTAGTAGTAGCATTATAGTAGTGAGTAGTATGCGTATGGCGTCAACATCACACCTCCACAGCCCCACGGGGCAATCCAGTTCGAAAGAGTTCGCCACGTGCATTCCAATTAGTGACATATCCCTTCCGCGGTATGCCTCGTAACTAGATGGTTTTAGCACCAGATTGATACAGTGTTTTGAGGGGCACCCTGACATGGCGGCAGCGTTGATGAATACTTTATTTCCGCCCCCATCGTGTAACGTCAGCGGCAGTTCTAAACTTCCTTATACAGTGTGGCCGACGTGTGCGCAGTAATGGACTGCATTCTAAGCGTAACGCGCGGATGCGAGAGAACGGCGGATGCTGAGAGAACGCGCGGGGATGCGGAGAGAACGCGCGGGATGCTGAGAGAACGCGCGGGCATTGCTGAGAACGCGCGGGATGCTGAGCAGAACGCGCGGGATGCTGAGAGAATGCGCGGGATCTGAGAGAACGCGCGGATGCTGAAGAATGCGCGGAGCTGAAGAGAATGCGCGGGGATGCTGAGAGAACGCGCCGGGCGGATGCTGAGAAGAACGCGCCGGGATGCTGGGACGAACGCGCGGATGCTGAGAGAACGCGCGGGATGCTTGAGAGAACGCGCGAAGGATGCTGAGAGCATCGCCGGGATGCTGAGAGAATGCGCGGGATGCTGAGAGAAACGCGCCGAGTTGCTGAGAGAACGCGCGGGATGGCTGAGAGGAAGCGCGGCGGGGGATGCTGAGAGAACGCGGAGGGGCAATGCTGAGAGACCGCGGCGGGATGCTGAGAGAACGCGGGAAATGCTGAGAGAAACGCCGCGGATGCTGCGAGAACGCGTTGGAGGCTGAGAGAAGCGCGCGGATGCGGAGAGAACGCGCGGGATGCTGAGAGAATGCGCGGGATGCATGAGAGAACGCGCGGGATGCTGAGAGAATGCGCGGGGATGCTGAGAGAAGCGCGCGGGATGCTGGAAATCGCGCGGATGCTGGGAGAACGCGCGGATGGGCTGAGAGATGCGCGGATGCTGAGAGAAACGCGCGGGATGCGGAGAAAACGCGCGGGATGCTGAGCAGAATGCGGCGGGGTGCTGAGAGAATGCGCGGGATGCTGAGAGAACGCGCGGTGGATGCTGGGAGAACGCGCGGGGATGCTGGAGACCGGCGGGGATGCTGAGAGAACGCGCGGGATGCTGAGAGAACGCGCGAGGATGCCTGAGAGAACGCGCGGGGATGCTGAGAGAATGCCGCGGGATGCTGCGAGACGCGGGCGAGTTGCTGAGAGAAGCGCGGGATGCTGAGAGAACGGCGCGGGTGCTGAGAGAACGCGCGGATGCTAGAGAGAACGCGCGGTTATGCTGAGAGAACGCGGGGATGCTGAGAGAAACGCGCGGGATGCTGAGAGAAAGCGCCGTGGGGATCTGAGATGAACGCGCGGATGCGGAGAGAACGCGCGGATGCTGAGAGAATGCGCGGGATGCTGAGAGAACGGCGCGGGATGCTGAGAGAATGCGCGGGATGCTGAGAGAACGCGCGCGGATGCTGAGAACGCGCGGATCTGGGAGAACGGCGGGATGCTGAGAGAATGCGGCGGGGATGCGAGAGAAGCGGCGGGAATGCGAGAAAACCGCGCGGGATGCTGAGGAGAATGCGGGATGCTGAGAGAACGCGCGGGGATGCTGAGAGAATGCGCCGGATGCTGAGAGAACGCGCGGGAGCTGGGACAGAACGCGCGGGACTGCTGGAGAACGCGCGGATGCTGAAGATGCGCGGGGATAGCTGGAGAAGCGCCAGCGGGATGCTGGGAGAAAAGCGCGGGATGCTTGAGAGAATGCGCAAGAGGAATGCTGAGAGAATCGCGCGAGATGGCTGAGAGACGCGGCGGGATGCTTTGAGAGAACGCTGCGGGATGCTGAGAGAACGCGCGGGATCTGAGAGAACGCGCGGATGGCTGTGAGAATGCGGCCGGGATTGGCTGAGAGAAATGCGCGGGATGCTGAGAGAACGCGCGGGATGCTGAGAGAACGCGCGGGATGCTGAGAGAATGCGCGGGGATGCTGAGAGAGAACGCGCGGGAGGCTGAGAGAACGCTGTGGCGGGGATCGAGAAGAGCGCCGGCGGATGCTGAGAGAACGAGGGAAGCCAGCAAAAAGTTGCTAATAACTACCGAGAGAGTGAGAACTAACGAGAGTAATAACCAAACTCTAGACAGCCAGCCAGGTAGGTATGAACGTAAAAAACATCGTGCTCGCATGCGATTGTTTCCTTCTACATCGAGAAGAATTCGAAGGAGGAAGGAAAGGGAACGGGTGCACACCGGCTTGCAGAGGTTTTCGCCTGGGGGAGGGTGGGGGGGGGGGGGGGGGGGGGGGGGGGGGGGGGGGGGGGGGAGGGGGGGGGGGGGGGTGAGGGGGGGGGGGGGTGCGGGTGCGTGGCTCTGTGACGCGCCCCTAAACGGCGTGGTGGCGGCCACTGCGAGCAGAATCCGGGCGTGCGCGATACATGCAACGTCCGGCCGCGACTTCACCATGCTAGCACGCCGACCGTCATGCCGTGTTCTGCTGCCTTAAACATCCACAACGAATTAACGAAGAGAAAATGAAAACTAATGAGCTCTAGAAGAAATGATAAGAAAGCGTTTATGGAGGGTGGGGGTTGTAATAAAATAACGTGAGCTTTGCAAATAATGTAATAATAGTGTTGGCAATGCAATAATGTAATAATAGTGTTGCAATGCAATAATGTAATAATAGTGTTGCAATGGGCAATAATGTAATAATAGTGCTGCAATGCAATAATGTAATCAATAGTGTTGCAATTGCATAATGATAAATATAGTGTTGCCAATGCAATAATGTAATAATAGTGGTTGCAATGCAATGTAATTAGTGTAATCGAATAGTGTTAATAAGAGAAAAATAATATCGTTGTGCTTGCAACGCGCCAGGCGTTCATACTGCGAGAAGGTTCGACAGTTTCCAAATGAACTCTGGCTGTGTTTACGCCTCAACGCACTTATATTTTATCTTTGCTATTCTTTCATGTTCTCTATATCTATCTTATCTCTCCATCACCCTACACTCGCTATCTATTTATAACTATATAATTCACTGCCCGTTTCTTCTCTAGCTCTTCCTTTCTTTCCATCAATACTGCTCTCAATCTCACCAGCTCTTGGTGACTAACGACCTCTCACGTTCGCTCTCTCTCTCCTTATATAAAATCACGCCCTGTTCTCTTCTAAGTATGACATATGCTTGATAATTACAGTGCATGGACACTGCACACACGCAGGTGCATGTTAAATATATAAATATACATATACATGAATAGACATGAATATATATAATAATGTATACATATCAGAAGTAGATAATAGGGTTCCCTATTATCTACTTCTGATACATATGTATGTATGTATGTATATATGCATATAACACTTTAGCCCCCGGTGCACACGCCTGTGTGCACTAATGCACTCTCATGACCTTCTGACCTTCATGACCTCTACATGACATTCACCAACAATAGAGCATGAATACCATGAGAATAGGTATAGAATTCTATGCTGATTGATGTTCCTGACGATATGCTACTGCGTAGGTCTGTTAGTCATGTATCGGGTGTGGATCGCTGTACCTATACGGACTAACACAGCGACCTAGAACGAGGGCGGCGGATATCTATAATATCGACAATAGTGCACTAACACCATAAAAAATAGGGTTATTATTATTATTATTATTATTATTATTATTATTTTCTACTGATATTACGAGCGATTATTTACAGCATTCATTGCTGAGTACATGGACGTAGCTAACTCGTTTGTGTAACAATGTCGATATTTGTTTGAAGGGCAGCTGCACGCCTTACCCTCTCCCTCCTCCCTTCCATTAGCTTCCCCCTCCCTCCCTCCCATTAGCTGCCTCCCTCCTCCCTCCCACTAGCTTCCCCCCTTCCCTCCCACCGGCTAGCTACGGGCACGTAATACATGTGAGAGCACGCTATATATCCACGCTGTTTGCAATGATGTCATACTGCGTACGTCGGGCAGACAAGGGTCGGTGCGGATG